CTTGATTGAGTGAAGGCTCAGCGTGTTGGAGGTCATGCGCCATATCAACCAAACCATCCCCATCGAGCCCACCCACCTTGCTGATTGGCATCGCCCGCATGCGCCTAACTCTGCTCTGCGTCGCTCTGCGTCTGCGTCTACGGTTGATCAGCGAACGCCAACCGACCAACCCGCTGCTCGGGCGAGCCCTGCACGTTGCATATTTGCAGTAGCTCGGCGTTTTGCCTTTTTCACCGCCTCCCATCTATCGATCTGTGGTGCCCTGCGACCGACGACCTTGATGCAGCTTGTGGCCGCGGCACAACACAGTACACTGCACAACAATGGCGGGCCTATGTAGGAGACAATTGTCCCCGAGACTCCGCTAGTTCCGTGGCGAATTGGAATGAACAATCCACAGATCTGAGGAAGCCTTACGGCCTCCCCGAGCAGCCGAGCTTAGTGCATTTCAAAAGAGCCTACACTACAGAAAATAGCGTGCAACGCCAGTAAATCCATTTTGTGGGCAAGATGGCGCGACTGCTTTGTGAGAGCAGATCTCTCCTAGCCTGAAGGGCTTCTGGGACCACCCACGCTCTCCTCACCGCGTCCGGCCGCCGCGGCTCGCACAACGTCCAACCTACATATGCGGGTCAATGATGCACACAGGGTTACCTCTTTGCCCAGTCGTCGACAGAGCCAATGACCTGGCTCTCACCATCACGCAGCGATCAACCTGCGCCGTACCCGCCCTCTGTGAGCAATTTCAACCATCTCGACGCTCGACGTGACGGCCGCGGTGGGGACATGTCAGATCAGTCATCTGCAGGGCCGATCTCGAACCTCAGCCGTCTCTGCTTCGGGGAGTTAGCTGTTACTTCGACATGTCCCGACGGTGGGATCACTGTTGCGCCCAAATCAAACGCGCCGCCGGTGTCGATCACCGACGAGTCGCCCGGAGACGGAGCGAACGGAGTGCCCAAGTCGCTGCCTACGGACAACCTAAAGAGCAAATGCGGTCCGAATGCTGTGCACTGCCAGTCGACCGACAGTGTGCTATGGAACGTTGCGTCTCTCTCAGCCACCATTCAATGCACGCGCATGACAGTGCTGACGGTGACGGAGAGAAAGCCAATGTACCTACCTACATAGTGCGTGGCCCCAGACCAGCAAATGCCGGTATCCAAGGGACCCTGAGAGCCAGCAATTCACTCTCCTGGTGACTGGGAGGACCCTCAGTACACGAAACCCGCGGTGTGAATTTGGCCGAAGTCTCACAGATGACAGCGAAAGAAGGTTATTTAAGAATAGAAACCCCACCTTGCCCTATCCGGCAAGGCTGTGATGCCCTTTACCATGCCTCTGCATGGGTTCTGCTCCAGTCCACCACCGTAGAGCCTCAGGCTGCAAGTCATCACCTGCTGGCCAATGGACTGAGACACACGTCGACTTCAGTCGTCGGCGAAGAGGAAAGATGACATGATGAGGTGCTTCCGCAAGAGGCTCACATCACTGTATGGACCGAAGTACGCAGACGGGCCGAGAAGCGTCCGAGGACGTTAGAATGCTGCGGGATGCTTTCGACTGCCCTGCACCGCCAACCTGCGGTACTTCGTGCTTCGTGCTACCTGTTCCTGCATTTTTGCATCAAGACTTCAGACGACGGTCCAGGGGTACAGTAGATAGTTGAGGGATCAGCGGCCGCCCTCCGAATACGCTCTTGTTTGCCCCAGCCTCTTGCACCTAACGAACGCCCCCATCGCCAATCACTCGCCCAATAAGGCGCAATCCACCCATGATGTCTCTTCGGAAGATTTTTTTGCTGCTCCTTCACACCGCTGCCGGTCGACAAATGACAGACTCCATGACGATGTTTGGCGTGCTGGCCCCGATGCGCCCTGTGTTAGGAGGGGACATCCCTGACCGGTTGACACGGTTGACAGGAGGGCAAGGCGGTCAGGCACAAAGAAGCGGACCACGCGGGCCAGCAACAGGCGACCCTTAAAATGCGCTGGCTGGCCTGTGTGGATGCTGGCTGGCAGACGCCACCACTTAATCATCACACCCCGAGGAATGGCGTAGGGAGGTTGGCGATTCGTCGTCGCCCGCGCTAAGCAGTAGAAGCAGCAGCAGCAGCAGCCTCGTGGTTTGCGATGGTTATCTGAGATCTCGTCGACAACTTGGGGAAACCTGCTTATGACGAGCTCCCGTTCGTGTCTCGCTTTTCCAGGGCTGGAAGACCAACAACATGGGTATGATGCCCTGTCGGGACACGCCAAAAATGGACACGAGAAACTGTTGTTTCAGCCAACCAGGAGCAGTAGGCAGCCCTGTAACCTCGATCTCCCAGTAACCCCTTGCAGAATGCTAGAGGTACATCCAAATAATAAGAAGCCAAGACCAAAGACGGGGACCCTTGGAAAGCAGCAACCCGCGCGCTCAACCCCGGCGGCCGGCGGGGCGTTAAACGGGGCAGGTCGAGAAGACTTCGGAGGAAATGGGAAGAAGGCCTCGGGAGGCAGAGATCCCCAAGAAGTTTCGTTCTACTTGAGACAGAGCCCCAAAGTACCGCATCTTGTTTTGATGGGGACGATCTGATTTAATGTTTGCTGTCCTCGAATTGGTCGCTCCACCAATCAGCCGCGTTCTTGACTCGCCGCACGATGCGATACACTCGTGTCCCAACGAGCAGGGCCGACCTGCACCGGCAAACCCACCAAGGTGACGCTCAGCGCCGACGAAGAGCGGGGGCACCATCGTGAGAGTTTGGTTCTTTCCTCTCTTCTTCGAAGGCTCGACTCCAGGGCCGCAGGCGAAATGGCCAAACGGCTATGACATGACACCAATGCCCTCAAACCTTGGCCATGAGATCTGATCAAATGGTCGTCAAGTTCGGCGGCTCGGGAGCCTCCGAGAGTCGACTGAAACATCGGAACGCAGCCGAGGGACAACATCTTCAGCTCCAGCAACCCAAGACGAAAGACGGATTCTCCTCTGAGGAAGAGTTGCAGGGACTGTTCCCAAGGGATCGATGGACACGCGAGTCGGAGAAATAACAAAAGGGAGACGACAAGCCCCCAACCGTCGCACGGTTGGTATCTGGGTGCCGTGTTCTTGATTCACCAAAAAGAACCACCAAGCTCTCTCAACGGCCTGTATTGGTAGCGGCAGCAGCAGATCCATACCGCGAACATTGGTGGGTCTTTTTTTTCGAGCCTGTCCTTCAGCCCCTGCCATGCATCGACCCAGGTCCTGGGAGGGAACTTGTGCGAGCGCTGTGGTTCGAAAGCTCGGACACCACGGCAGGCTTGAAACCATGTCTTGAATGACCGTCAGGTCTCTCTGGCTGATGTAACCCAGCTGGCAGCCGGCCGTTTCTCGTGTCGTGGAGACGCTGTTGGCGTTGCCGCTTGGCCTGGCAGAGCTCTCACCCACGGAATGGAGCTTGGCCTTCAGGACGGTCTCAAGACGTCCACCGGCTGGGCTGATGGCGCGCCGGAGCGCCTTCGTCCTCATCAACGCCGTACCGCACCCGTGCCTCTTTCGGTATAGCCTCCCACAGGGCAAGGCCGGCATGGGTGATGGAAAGACGCCCAAGGGGGGGAGGGCGCACGGATGCCCATAATCCATGACCGCACAACGTTCGCCGGTCGTTCTAGTGGGTTGGAATGGGAACAGGGTCCTTCCTCATCCGGTCGAGATGGGAAATGTCGCCTTTTGGAGAGGCAAGGACTAGGGCGGGGCAGCAGTCGAGAGAGTAGGAGCTTTCTATTCTCCAGGGTTGTGGCATGATGAGCATCGAACTTTATGGATGTTTGGACAGTTCTCGCCGCGGCTCGCCAACTTCCAGAGACATCAGGAGCGACGATGACAGAGCGATATTCGTCATCCAACTTGGGACGATTGCGTGTGCAGCTTCGGGACCTTGGAGTCGCCGGCCACGAGGGCTTGAACAACGAGGCGAAGGAAGTGTCTTGGCGATGCTGACACAAGCACAAACCGCCAGTACATACATACATACCCCTGCCCGCGGAGGCTATTCGTTGGATCCAGTGCTAGGGTCGCTTCATTGGGATCGCAGGGCAGGCAATACGGTACAGGTAGGGAGCAAGAGCAAAAAGTCGGGTGAGGGCCGCTCCAAGTACTGCTAAAGTTATGGAACCTTTGTGTATGGTCCTTGCGACGGTGCTGCATGCCACCACACCAGCACAGAGGTGACATGTCGGGGGTTCTTCGACCAAGCCGGGTAAGGCCACATGACGACGTCCCTCTCCTGGTCAGGCTCTGTCTGAATACATCATCAAGAGCATCCTTCCAGCCCTTAGGGGACTAGTCGTGTTTAGACCGTGCATGACCAATGGCGACTGCCGATGGGGATGGAATGTTACTCTGGGCGGTGGCTCAACCCCAACTCTTGGACGACCACCGCCTACTATTTCCATGCTATAGGGACCCGCAAATCTGTTGTCGACGCTATTACCTAAGACTGCCAGCTGAGAAGCAAGAGAGAACAGATGACCTTAGTCACAACTCGACAGAGAGGCCCATCTGAGAGAGGGGCCGCGGAGAGATTGACTCTCGCGGGTTCGGAAACATGAAGCTTTGGGCGGCTGGACAATTTGTCTTCAGGACTCGGGGTCTGTCGCCCCTTAATTCCTCTGTCTTTCGCCTTCATCTCGGCGGGCCCATGAATGAATGGGACGGACGAAAAAAGAAACGGATACTGCTTGCCGCCCGAGCTCCGGCTTGACGGGAACAGCTTTGGGTTTTGCCCAACATTGCCATCTCTGCTGAAGGGTGTCACAAGCAAAGACAACGGAAAGCCGAAGGCGCATGAAGCTGAGCCAAGTGGTTGTCTGGGACTGGACGGGTGGTGTGGTGCTCTGTCATCGGCTGAGTGGACGAGTCGCACGAGCATGTTTGTATGAGCCTGAGTACCTAGGAGGGGGGCAGAGCGCAGAGGGAGACGCGCCGAAAGATGGGACGGGGATGGCGACGGCATCCATGACTGGCTCGGCCCCATGGCAGAAAGTCACCGGCACAGACGCTGGCACGGACGAGCAGAGGTGCAATGCTCGCTGACTGGTGATTGCTTCGCCTCAGTCGTGTCGACTAGCTTCCTGCCGACACCTGGCACCCAGCGTGTGTCATTGGACTGGATCGGGACAAGAGTCGCTGTTGCCCCTATTCTCTGGCTGCTGACGCTCAATCAGCTCTCGGCCGGTGGTCGCGAGGTTGGCATCGAGAATAGAAGCTATACGGAGAGGAGGCGCGCAACAGCGTGGCATGGCATCAGCGGCGGCGCGATGCAGTGATGCGATGATGGATCGGTAGCGGAGCGGCCAAAAGTAACAAGGCCACGCCAGAAGGAGACCAAGCAGCTGTGAAGGCAGCGACGAGAGAAGCGGCAGCGGTAGCACTGACGGCGCCAGGGCAGCCGATCATCCTGCCGGGGAGGGGAGGAGGACACGCTCTCACAAGAGCTAGAACGGGTAACAGAGGCAACGGTGCCCTGTGAGTGAGACGGGGACAAACCCAGCCACCTCACGCACGAAAAGCTAGCCGGTCGCGGCGGCATAGCAGAGGAACGCGCTAGAAAGTCGCCAAATGGTGCGGTTGCTTAGTGCTTGCGAGCGTGTCGCCGTCGGGCAAACCTTGGGACGTGAAGCAAAGCGGGAGCAACAGCTCGAGGCGCAGCAAGCCCAATGGCGGTGTCTCCCAGTGGCCGGGTTGGATTGGATGGGAGTGATTGGGGGGGGGGGGGTGGAAGTGCGGGTGAGCGAAAACTATAAGGCACAAAGGGAGGTGGGGATTTGACATGGATGCTGCACAGGCGAGAGAAGCGATTTCCACCACGGTTTAGCACTTTTGGGGATTAGCGGCAACAGCCGCAGGCGCAGAAGGGGTGAGGAGAAGGTAAGGAGAAGGTGAGGAGAGAAAGCAACCCAGAAGAGGTCACCCGCTTTCTGCACTACTAGGCTGTCTGTCAGGTTGTGCTCCCTCTGACGGACACACGCTCACAGTCACTCGCCCACTCTCAGTTATGGCGGTCAATCATTCGTTCTCCCCCCTTCTTTCTTCACCCCACCAACCTGTGTCCGCTCTTCGGTCACTCCCACTGGCGGCCCCCCGGCGAGTGGCTCTTCGCCCCGGGCCCCCGGTCTTCTGTTAGTCTTTGGATTTGTGCGTGTGAGTTGTGTGTGTGAGTCGCCGCCGCTTTTGGTTGGGGGCCCAAGAAGCCGGCTCACCCACGGGAGGGAGGGGCCAGGGTTATTTTTAATTTTGGCTCTTGTTCGGGTCGACTTTCGGCGGCGAGCAAGGCAAAGATGGGCTGTACGATGACGGGACAAACAAACAGCACTTCGTCGAGTCTTTCCATTTGGGCGTAGCGCGCGTGTCTTTCGCCCTCTGCCCTAGCCGACGAGTCTTGCACGAACCGTCCTGACAGATGGCGATGTCGATAGACACGGTAGTCGCGGCATAGCGCCGAGTCTCGTCGATTATCCACATAATCTCAGACAAAAGCGACTGCTGCGGATACCGGTCCAAGGCAGCCTCGGGATTCCGCGCCATTGCAACCCCGACGGCATAGTAATTAGGAGTAGAAGGGGCATGGCCGTAGACATCAAGCTCATCGGGCATGGCATTTGCGTCTCCATCGCTAAGGGGACTCGTTCTCTGCTTGTCAGTACGTATCGTTTTCGCCTCACCCGTTCCTCTTTTTGTATCTGTGGCATCCTCTATCAGATAAACCATCCCCTTCTTGCCTCTCTCTCTCGTTTTCATTCTCTTTCCAACGCAGTCATCCCATGCATTAAGCGAACAGCCCATGCATATTAAGTTACGCTTGTGTACGTCCAGACAGCCCTCCCAATCCCGCACTTCACCCCTTTGGCTGACCATGCTCAGGATCCCTGTTCTTAACCACCCATCTTAGAGTCCTATCCCCATCCCATCTTGTCCCATCCTGTCCCATCCCGTCCTACGAATACCCTCAGCATCTCGATTCGCTGCCTCTCCCCCTCCCCCCCTTGCGGACGACGGGTGAAAAACAAAACAAAAGGAAGGTCAATCACGAATTCTCACCGACACACCCCGCCTCTCTCTTGTTGTCGCAACACTGGACCCCGGTGCGCGAAGCCAGTGTATCACCTTTCCACGCGAACCCTGACTCTTCTGGTTCTGAGCCTGCTGAATCTGTCATTTGTTGCTCGTGCTGCTGCTGCTGCAGGACCTGCGGCACCCGGCCTCTGTCATTTTCCAACCGAAACGGGCGAAGCACCCATCCTGGCTGGCAGCAAAATATACACACGCATCCTCTCGCACCCACAGACGTACATTCAACACACACACACACACACACACACACACACAGCAGACCACTGTACGAGTTGGCGAAGCGGTACGTACGGATTTCATAACCTTGTCTTGTCGGTCTCAGCAACACTCCCAGCACGGGCGGCCCCTCCCCTCCACAGTCCACACCTGTCCCTGTCCCATCCAGTCCCATCCATTCTTTCTCCTCCCCTGGCCCTGCACCCTGCACCCTGCACCCTGCACCTTGCACCCGCACACCTGCGCCTGGGGTCTGCGCACCTGGACATCTCTCTTGCACACACCCTGGCTGGAAAGAGAGAGCGAGAGGGAAGGAGAGCACACCTGCACCGCACAGCCCTTTTTTTTTCTTTCCTTTCTTTCCTTCTCTTTCCTCCCCCCCCCCGCCCTCGCGCACAGGCTATGCCCCGCCATTCCCACCCGGCGGTGCTGTCTTACCCGATTAGGCCGGGCCTGGTGTGGCACCTCTCCCAACCGTGTGTGCCGTCGCCGCCCTCTTTCTGAGCTTGAGCCCAAGCCTCTGTGTGAGAGTTTGTGGTGTGTGCTTGTGCCCGGCTGCGGCCTCTCTTGGGATGCGAGGTGCCATTATTTAACTGTATCTGTCCCCCAAACCATCTACCACCGCCCTTCCTGTCTCCCCTCCCCCTCAGCCTAACATCAAACATCAAACATCATCAGCCTCGTTGAGCTGCTCGTGCTGCCCTCAACCACATTCGCTTTTTCCTAACTCTCTACTCTTAGGAAGTCCTCGTTGACTCCTGTCATTCGCTTTCGCGTTCTTGTGTTTTCTTTCCCGTCACCTCTCGACACCAAATAAACCCTCCCCGAAGCCACCAAGCAAACCCCTCTCGCCCTTTGCCAGTTCTCTCCGACGAGATACTCGAAAGAAGAACCAGAAAGGAACAAGAAGGACAAGACCCTCTAGACCGCGCCCAGTCTACCCTCGGCACCCTCGAAGCAACCATCGCCAACTACCCCTGGTCTTCAGCCTCATCGACCTCCCGGGACACGCCAGCCAGCAAAGCCCCGCCTGTCCTACGTCCTGGCTTGAACCAGCAAATGCTTCGTCTTTGAACACCGGTCTTTTGATCAACCACACTCGCTTTTTCGGAACCAGAGAGAACAGAAGAAATTGGACAAACGCAGAAACTCGCCCCCACCTACGATCGCTACTAGTATCAGGAACTGGGAACGAAACAGAAAAAGCTGTTTCGAACAGAAGAAAAAGGCTCTAAAGCACTGTAGAAAGAGACGTGAGAGGAATCCCGCCAAGCCGATTATCGAGCATTGCGGCATTCTTTGCAATCATTTCTCCCAACCGCCTCTCACCAAGCGTCTGACCATCCCACTGCCGGTCGCTTACACATCGGAGGACATTTTGCGTCCCTTCGCATCGCGCACTCCGGTCCATCGACTCACCGTCACAGTATAAAGTCAGTCATAGGCACTAGGCCTCTTGTTACCTCCCAGTAACGACACTGCACTCGCTTGCTATACACGGTCGTCCATCCGTGTATATCTTCTTGTTGGTATACTCCGTTCCTGTCTCGTTGTCGTCGGACTGACACGTTCAGTTCTTTCGTTTAAAAAAGCAACCCGAGCTCACAATGGCCGGTCCTGGTGGTGGTCCTCCTCGCCGCAGTCACACCAAGTCCCGCAAGGGCTGTGATACCTGCAAGCGCCGCCACATCAGATGTGACGAGAGCTTCCCCCAATGGTAAGTTCATCTGCCTCCGTCTCCGCAACTCCGGCTGACATGACCAGCCGTAACTGCACCAAGCACAAGATCCGCTGCCCCTACAACGACATGCCCATTCCGGATGACAGGTCGACGACCCCCGACAAGCCCGATCTCATGTGGACTCCTGAGATCGAGGCGGCGATCTCGCTGTGGCAGCAGACTGGACAGTTCCCTTTCCCCAACCTCAACATCTACCCGGCACCGAACCCGCAGTACCTCAACGTCGAGGATCTCAGACTGATCTATCACGTGGCGTCAATATGTGATGAGCTGGCCGCCTTTGATGCTAACGGCTTCACGCTCTGGACTCGCCAGATCCCGACGTGAGTTGGACTCGTTCACCTGACATGAAGCACTCTTCTGACCCCAAAATAGCATCATCAAGGTTGGCGCGACAAACGCCTACGTCATGCATGCCCTCCTGGCCTTCTCGGCCACGCACATTGCCTTCCTCACCGACTGCCCCCTGGTCGGCAACATGGCATACGAGCACCGCGGTGTGGCCCTCAAGGGTCTGCAGGAGGCTATTGGTACTTTCAACCACGAGACGTCGGACGCCGTCTTGGCCGCCTCCCTTGTCTTGTCGTGGCAAGCCACGGATTGGTAGGCAACATAATGCAGCCACCCGTTCCGCACGACGCCCGCGCTAACACACCTCTTTTTCACAGGCGAAGCTGGACCCAGCTCATGCAAGGCACCTCGTCGGTAAGTCAAGACGCCTGATGCAGCGAAGCTTGAGCAACATGGCTAATTCCCCTCTGTTCTAGGTCATCGAAGCCATGGACTCCTGGAAGCATGAGTCCCAGTTTGGCGACTTTATTGCTGAGAGTTGCACGTTCCCAACCGCTCCCGCCTCGCCCAGCCCGGATCACAAGCCGAGCCAGCCGCGCAAGGAAGACCTGGACGCCTTCAACCGCACCCTGCAGCAGCTCCAAAAGGTCGAGGCCCATCTCAAGCACAACAAGGAGGACACCAAGTCGATCCAGCAGTTGACCAGCTTCCTCAAGGGCGCCCGCAAGGTCAGCCCGACGCTCAGCGTCTCCCAGCAGTTCGAGCGCCTCCGCCCCCTGCGGACCTGGCTCTTCTGGCTGCCCGTCATGTACCTCAAGCAGACGGCCGGGTCGCCGAGCGCCCTCATCATCATTGCCCACTACTACACGGTGGCTCTGATGATGGAGCGCCTCTTCCCTGAGATCGGCGCCGCCTACTTTGGCAGCCTTTCGATCGGCCCCGTCGAGGAGATTGCCCGCCGCCTGCTGTCCATCAACATCTCGGGCAGCCTCGATGGTGACCTGCAGACCCCCTTGACGCTCATGGAGTTCCCCATTGACACAGTCAACGAATTCCGCTCGCGGATGGGTTGGATTCAGCCCGCGCGAACGCCCTCGTTCCCGCAGTTCAACCCACCCAACTTCTACATGAGCGAGCCCGTGCCGCTGCCCCCCGTCAGCGACTCATACCTGTATGGCCAGAACCCGGCCTTCAGCTACAGCACCGAATCCCTGCAGATGCTCAACGCCGAGTCCGGTCCACCCAGCAACGTCTCGCCTCTCGTGCTGTCGTCGCCTTTTGTCAACTCACAGTACCTAAACATCCCCAGCCCCAACTACGGCGGCTACAGCCCGGCCTCGTCAACCTTTGAGGGCTCCGTTGCATACAGCGACAATGAGGAGTACGGCTCATACGACGGCTACGACATGAGCGGCATGCCTACCCCCATGGTCGGCGGTTCCAACAACAACTTTGGCCTCGGGTTCGTCTCTCCCACCCAGCCCGTGTGGATCTAGAAAGGCCCTGCCCCTCCTCTATGGCACCCTCGATAACCACTACGGCTTTCAAAACAAATGCAACGCGTGGAAAGAATGCCGGATTGACCGCCGATCAGGATGCCAACCACGCCCACATACCCGCCACCGGAGGACCCGACCGTCCTGTCGTCTTCGCTACACGCGCTGCCCCCTCCCCGTTCCTCCACCCTGAACAGTTCGGCATGCTCCCCCTCCCTGAGTCCCCTGTTCCCCACGGCACGCCGCTGCCGCACCATCTGCACACGCCCTCATCTTCCGTCACGGGCGAGTCGCCGCGGTCCGTCAGCGCACCGTTTCCGCTGCGCCACGCCTGGGTGCCTTCGACGCCGACGATCCAGTTCAACAGCGAGAAGGGTAAGGAGCGGGAGACGTAGGTCGTCTTCCACCCCGCCCTCCATCTCGAACACAGTTCTATTTCATCACCATCGCTTGGGAACCCCTTTTTGATTTTCGAAACTACCCTTTAATAATGCTGCATCGACACAAAAAACGCCAATGTACACCACGCTCCTTTGAAAGAGACACCGGCCGAGCCCGGGGCCGGAGCCAGACTCCAGGCCACCGCCGCACCCATGACACTCCTTTGTTACCAACTACATACGACCTCAACGGCGACATACAACACACTAATCTACGACGACACTCCTTCCTAATTCTCGAAGATGATACCCTCGAACACACACACCAAAACATAGACATTCCTTACGGCATCGGCATCGGATGATACCCCCACTGCACCACACTCCTTATTACGACGTTACGATCCCCCAAACCAAAAGTACTTTCCGGATTTAGAAGGGACAAAAAGGGAAGAAGAAAGACTTACACTCCTTACGGATTTACGTTGGCCAACAATCCAAACTTGCATAGCGATTTGTTTTTCGTGTTTGATGCAAAACACACCACCACCAACCTTGGCGTTTAAGGGACCACAGGGGGAATGGATGAGCTTCGATCTCTCCGAATTACTGCATTGGGCGGCGTTTTGCTTTTTTATTTTGATCTATTTTAACTGTATCGAGGTGAAGGCATGCCTCGCCAGGTAACATGTTTGGTAACTTGAAAGTTATGGGAAAGAGTTTGGATTTAATGAAGTTTTCAACTGCAACTAGGAAAATTCCGAGCGTTGAGATTGTTTGTACTAGGAGCTGGGCTTTGGCTTGGGCTCCTTTGAGCCCTCCCTCGCGGGAAACGGAAGAGGCGGGAAGAATATACAAGAAGTTCATCGACGAACAATACATTGACCCTTTGCGATTTGTGAATAATGGATTTTGACATGTCGCTAGCTAAATCAAGGCACGCCCAGGTCGTAGGCAGCTTTTTTGTTTCTTTTCTCCCGATCAAATTTGCCTCCTTTGCCCCTGCGAGCCAAGTCTGGAAGGGTCTTCCTCACGAGCCAAGTCTAAGATGCAGGGTCGTTCTGGAATGTTTGTGAGATGTTACGGCCGGACGTGTACGGTGTTGCTTTTTTTTTCTCTCCCCCCTTGAATGGGTGTCCTTTGGAGTTAGCCACGGACGAGGCCCTGCCGTCTCCTTCTCCTTCATTTCCCTCCGCCCGAAGCCGTCGGATCCGGACGCTCTCGCGCGCGCGGTTTGATCGTCAAATAGTGTTTGTTTGCCTTGCCGGTTCGGGCGCTCCCTGCGTTGGTGGGGGACAGGGCCTGGGGCCGCCACGTTGAGGATCCACGACCGGAGGAGGGTCTCTCTTCTCTTATTTCCGGTGCTGAGGGACCGCGAGGGACCTTGCTCTCGCCGGCTTCGTTTCTGTTCACGGCCCGAGGGAGGAGGGGGCGACTGCGACCTGCGTGAGCGCGGTGAGACGTTTACCCCCCGCCCACCTCTCCCTTCTGTCCTTACCGCACGAGACTACGCGAGATGGACGCCCGTCCCTGCGGGCATGCTGCCGTCGAGCCATCTCCGTTCTTGCTGGGGTCGAAAAGTGTTTCACGTTTGCCGGGCCGGGGCCCGGTCCCGGTCTTCAAGGACCCCGGAGGAACGCGGACGCGCGGGGGCTTAGGGGCGTACCGGGCCAGAGGCGGGTCTTGCAGCGTTGCCGCCTCGTTCGTCTCCGCGCAGAATACTCTGGTACTTACCACGTGTGTTGGGCCGGCCAAACTAGGCGTCGATGGACGTAGAACCCCCACCCCCTCCTGCACTCAGTGGTCTGCATGTATGTATCTCTAGAAAAATGTCTCGAGAAAGGCCGAAACGAGAAAGAAAGAAGAAAGAAAAAAAAAAACTCCATTCCCATCACCCCCCGTGGGGCGTGTTGGCGTAACCCTATGCTAAAGCTATCTACCCTATCTACCTATCTACGACGGTAAGCCTTATGCTTTTCCCCCCCAGCATGCATCATGACGCCTTTGCTAAACCCCTCCCCCTCCAGTCGGCCGTGTATGCTTGACTTCAACTCCTGCCTCTGTCCCCTCCCTACGTGACTTTCCAGCCTGTATGTTGTTGTCTTTCGAACTCCGGCCGTGTTGGAAGCAGTTCGGAACCCCATTAGCGGATCCTCCCGCCAGAAGCCATAAATACGGCCCCGTTTACCCCATGGCGCAACGTCGTCTTCGGCGTTACCCTGCCCCTCCTCCACAAAAAAAAAACACCCCGTCGTCATATGATGCTGGCCCCGTCGGTAATGCATTGTTGAAAACCGAGGAAAAGGAAAAAAAAAAAAAAAGGCCTTGTTTCGACTCTTGCCAAAGTCACTTATCGCGGAAAAGAGCCAACCGTTTCACGTCGCAGCTCCAGCAGGTTCTTTCGTCCGATGAGATTCTTCTTCTTCTTTTTCTTCTTCTTGCGGCCCAATTACAAGCCATGTTTTTACCCTTGTCCTCGCTCCCATGATATGTATCTTTCTTCCTCTCATCTTCAAAAAGCGTCGTCATCACTCATTCGTAAAGGACGCCTCGGTGGTATTTTCCTCCCCATGTCATATCAAGAAAGCTCGCTCAATTGGGCCCAATCTCTTCATTCAACGTCGTCTTCGTACGCGCATGTTCAAACAGCGTCCACGTGCTCCGGTCATGTGGAGTAGTATGCGCGGAGTGCCTGCTGGTCCTGCGGTTGCATCTGGTTCACAAAGTCGTTGAACTGGGGAATCATTTCCCGGTACATGTTGATGACCTGTGTGTGTTAGCAATGAGCATGGGAATGAGAGCGGCGTACTGACCTTCTGGAAGTGCTCGTGCAATTCGTGCTTGATCGGGTTCTTCAGGTTGATATCCCGGTACCTTGCAATAGCAACGAAGAGCTGGGGAAGCGCCTTCTCCATGGCTTGCGGGTTTTGTCCCACAACCAGGGTGAAGCCCTTGAACGCAGTAGCCTTCTCTTCCAGGAACTCGACGTGTTCCATGGCCGTCAGAAAATCCTCGGCAAAGGTCGGCAGAAGCGGGGCGAGGATCTCGGAGTTGTGGAGACCAAGGCGGCCGAGGGCAATGGCCGCGTTCTCGCTCACGGCAGCCTGCACGCCAGGGTTCGAGATGATCTCGACGAAACGCTGGAGAAGCTCGGGCACAAAAGGAGAGAGGGCCTTGCTGTTGACCATGACGATCTCGCCAGCAGACCAGCATGCGTTATTGACGACGCTGAAACCGCTGTCGATCTCCTCGTCGAGGATGTTATCCAGGTCCAGCTGCTTCAGCAGGATGGGGAAGATTGAGGGCAGATGCTTCTCAAGCTGGGGGAAGACGTATCTGGCGCAGTCACCCAATAGAGCGTATGCCGATTGACGGACGTCGTCCTGGGGATCCTCCAGGCAGAAGCTGAGAAGCTCGAAAAAGGTTCCCTCGGAGCCCCTGACCAACTCCTGCTTCTTGTCCTCCTCCAGAGACTGAATAATGGCGCTCAGGAGGTCGAGACTCGTGACGAGGAAATCCTTGTCGGGAGAGTCCAGCGTGGGGTTGTTGGTGGCCTGCAGGCTTTGCTCGAGGTTCGTGTGGATAATGTTGACGCATCGTGTAAAGATCGGCTGCGCGTACGGTGTGAAGGAAGACCCAAGCGCCATGGCCACATAGGACAGGCACTCCAGCAGGGGGAACAGCTCGCGCGAGTCGTCGCTGACCTTTTGGTAGCGGTCGATTAGCGCAGGCATCAGCAAGCTCATCGCGTTGGGCTGCGCAATGACGGGGCCAATGTTCTCCGCCAGGGTCTGCACACAGTCGTAGAGGATGTACATGTTCCTGTCCTTGTACCGGGCGAAGCACTGGACAAACTGCTGCAGGATCGGTATGCAGTAGGGCTCGAGGACCTTGCCGGACTTTTCCTCCAGGTTGGCGAAGGCAGACGCAGCAGCCTCCTGTACCTTCTTGTTCTTGTCGAGCATCTTACGCAGGATGCCGTCCATCATGGGCTCAAAGTAGGTGGCCTTCTGGTTGGGGTCCTGGAGGTTGGCGGCCCACTGCGAGTAGCGGCCAAGCGTCCAGCAGGTGATTTGCCTGACGATGGGCTCGTTGTCCTCAAGGAGGGAAAGGAGGTAGGGAACGAGCTCCGGCAGATGGGGGGTGACGGCATTGATGGTACCCTCGGCGACGGCGCCCAGGGCGAGGACGGCAGCCTCCCTGTACTGCCACTCCTCGTGCTTGAGGTTACTTGTCAGGTAGGGCAGGATGGCGGTGAAGACAGGGTCAGAGAAGTCTCTCGCAAAGACGTCCAGGGCGGCGGCGGAGCACTTGCGGATGGTCCAGCGCTCGTCGGGGTTCTCGTCGCCATCGTCAAGGTCGTCGATCTCGCCCTCCTCCAGGTCGTCGTCCATGCTCGCCAGCTTCTCGTAGGCGTTTCCGTTTTGCGCAGGGTCGGCCGAGGCCTCGCCGCCCTTGCCTCTGGCCGCCGATTTCTTGGCGAACTGCGGCTTGATATCCTCCTCGCGGTCGTCCTCGTCCTCGTCGTCTGATGCACCGCCGAGCAGAGCAATGTCCTCTCCGCTGTACACCATGCAGTGCAACAAGACAGGGATGATCTTGTCGAGGTAAGGCGTCAGGGCGCGCCACAGGTCCTCGTGCTCACCGACGGCCAGCCAGAACTCAGCTGCCTCGCAGGCCAAGTCCTCGTCGTCGCTCTTCTGCTGGGTAATGATGTAGTCGACCAGGCCGGCGATGTGCGGCTGCAGCTTGTCGGGGCGGGTCTCGACGAGCTGGACAAAGGCGTGGCACACCTGGCGGCGCACGTCGGGGTTCTGGTCGCCGGCGAGGATGAAGAGGTGGTTCAGCAGGCTGTCGACGTTGTTGAGCATGGCCTGGGACTTGCGCGGGGTGAAGACGTTGATGGCGGCCAGGGCCTTTGCGCGGACCTTGGGCAGCTCGCTCTTGGTGGCCTCGATGAACTTGGGGAGAAGGAAGTTGAGCGGGCGCGAGCCGTTGTGCTCGCGCTCCAGGAC